TAAAAGATATTTAAGAGTGAATATGGATTTTCAGTTATACATGAAGGTCTATATATATATATATACAGTTCCTGTAATTCTCATTTCCAAATCTTTTACAAGAAAGGTTTGTTGACTTCTGCAAAACATATAGTTCTTAACGTATTGATCATTTCAAGAAATTTGTTGAAAAAATGCTTTTTTATGTTTTCGTATAAGAAAAGAATATAAAAGCTCACTATTTTCTTGTAGAGTAGCCCCAAGATTTTTTATTGACAGAATAGTGCGATAGATTGATAAACGATGAGCGAGCTACCTTTAATATTTAAGGATGGAAATAGTACTTTGCCCATCACTGGTCGAGATTGTCTCTCGGCGATTAATCGAAGGTGAAAGAAAAACGTCCGATTGTTATAAAGTGCTCTCGAATATTTTGTAAGTCCTCCTTCTGTAATGCACTCTTCCTACGAACGAATCGTCCTTTAGATCACACTGTTCTACAAGATCTTGAAATCGGTTGCTAGTATCAATGGTATCTCTATATCTTTCTCTCTCTTTCTCTCTTTCTCTCTTTCTCTATATCTATATAGCTTATTCGCCGTTTCTCCTTGCGGTGAAATAGCAGATATTAACAAGTCGATACGCACGTATTTCGAAGTAACAATCCTCAGGGAAGAACAATTAACGCGAACAATCGGGATTAATCGATTACTGTCTATTAGCAGCGATAGGTGTTTGCTGATTGCGATTTTTCCGAGAGTTTAATCTCTCTATCAAATACTCTCTATTAAATGATGGTTGTTCTGCTTTAGCTCTACAGATGTACAATCTACAGATGTACAATCCATTGAGAATTTTATTAATCAGGCTTTTGAAGTAGATCTGATTTTTCCGCCGAGTAAGTTAATCTTTAATAAGATTATGACACCGATAGATTTCAGTGGCAATACGCACTACATAATATTGCAAACTGACGCTTCGAATAAGCTTCTTTAATCGCACAAAAGCTCGGATCTATCACTGAGGCAAGAAAAAAGTGCCACTCTCAATCACTGCGATCCGCATTTTGCGCGGATCGTTTTTACGCTTATTAACGAGACACAATAAATCTTAACTCTCTCGTCTTCGCTAGACTTGCACACAATCGTTCACTCTCCCAATCTTCAACTCCCTCGTCTCATCCCTCCCAAAGGTCATTTACGGATAAGCAAATCGGTGTGTGAATTTTGTATATATTTATGTGGCTGAACCTTGCGTGTATGGGCAGTTTTAACGATACATCGATAACAACGATATTTCGTGTAAAAAAAAAATTTCTTTAATCTCACGCGTGCGCGCTTTTCTGTAATATAATCGATTGATCTTCAGGTGACCGATACTTCTTGCGAAATGAAAATTTGACTACTGTTTCCTAACGGTGACATAACCTTCGTGAGATGGTTAAAAAAAAATCCTTTTTCTATCTGTTCTCTTTTTTCCTTAAGAGAAAACGCTCTTTATCGACAAGAAACTCTAGACATATTGTTATCACTGCCCTCTAATTCTCTATCTGCATATCCTTCGATGTACTGACAACTAACGTTTATACTAAACTAAATTAACTTCTATAAAAATATATTTAGTGAGCAGTGTTACTCTAACTATTAACTTATATACTATGTCGAACTTAAAAGCGTGTCGCGAGTAAGCACTGGAGCAGTCGGGTTTGTTCGTAATTGGATATTAATTTCTATTTACTTTACTCTAAATATAAATAAAAATGAAGTTTTTATCTAAATTTGGCGATTTGTTTTGCAAAGTTGAAATGGAAAAGTTATTTGTTTTTAATATTTTTAATTTAAAACGAAAATGAAAGATAAACAAATAAATCTTGATTTAAATAAGAGATGTAACAACTGCATCCAAAATCAAAGATAGAAATCTAATAAATTAGGAAATTGTAATTTATAAATTTTTATTAAATTAAAAAATATAATGCAATTTGATTATTTATAAAAATTATTTATAATAGAGTTGATAACAAATTAGAAATCCTGTATAATAATCAAGAAGAAATTGTATGAAGATGTCATGATAATTATAAGATATGGTTAATATTGTTTTAGTTAAAATATTTGTTATTAACATAATAATAACTATTATTATATTGTTATTCGCATAAATTTTTTGCTGTCAATATAATCATTGATAGTGATGTTATTTATG